TCGTGAAGTGGCCGCGCAGCGCTCTGTTGTATGCTTAATTAAGCGGGCTGTCCTCAGCCAAACTCTTCCTTTTCCCGGCTCGCTCAGGCGCGGCTTTATCGGGCGCGGGCACGTAGCGCCGCCACAGGGTGGCTCTCCTTGAAGCTGACGCACCTCGGCCAATGGGAGCCTCGTTCCTTGTGACGATGACGCGCGCCAGCCAATGGGAGCCCTATCCATGAGATATCGGCTTCCCTTGGAGACGTGAATTTAGATGCCGTTTGGCTACCCTTTTTGCGCGGCTTCAAAGCTGGGACATTTCTCTGATCGCGGCTTCACTTCGCTCCATTGGGAGAGGGGAATTTATCTGCCGTTTGGCGCAGCAGCTGATGACGTCGGCTGGCTCCATGCATGGACAGTTAATGCTTTCGCACCATTAAGGATCTGTACGCAGGAGACCATGCGGCCCGGCATTCGCGCGCGTTGGCCTGGGATCGGTAATGGGGGGCAGGTCCGCGCCGTTCCCCCGGTGTTTTCTGTTGCTTGCCGGTTGCTAGGCCTTACGTCAGTTCTATGGGAGGAGTCTGGAAGGAGCGAGGGTACGGCGAGAGTCCAACGAGGACAATAGATGTCCAGACTCTTCCCCTATTAATGGCTCTGGATGGGGCCATACCAACACCAACTAAAAGAGAAGACCAAAACACGCCTCCTGTGACGTCACGGCATTAGGCTGACGTGCGCCGCGCTATAGCGCTGCGCTGAAGGCTTCGCGCGTAGCTTTTACGTAGTAGAAACGCGGGTTTTCGCTGTATTAATTTTTTCTGAGCTAACACGAGAGCTGTAAAAGCCCAGTTATTAAAAAAAAAAGAATTAGAACGCAGGAAAATTATTATAACTTACAATTATTATGGTCAAATACAAGAAAGTTATATCTTGAGACAGATGTCTTATTTTTATTGTTTTAAGCGATAAGCTGGTTGCTGTAATTATCTTTAACCGACATGGGAGTTGTATAAAAAAAGAATCCTTATGAAATGGAAATAATCGAAGTAACGGGACCGGGTGGAATGAACGGCAGTAATAATCGGGTAAATGATGCTGAGGCATTAATTTAATTTAATTTAATTTTATTTTATTTATCTCAAAGGCATCCGAAGACGCATTACAAAGGGGATTCAGAAATAAAATACAAAAAGTAATTGAACATAAAAAATAGACACCAACAAGTAAAAATCACACGCACACACACACAAAACAAAAGAGAAAGAAAACCATTTTATGAGCATGTTATTTTTGGGATGTAGTTTTACAAATCGAGGATCACGGTTACACAAATTGATGTAATTGTTTTAAATGAAATGGGGGATCGCGCTCAATTACAATATGGTCGGGTAGTTTTTTCCAATCAGTGATGCAAATTTCTAAGTGAAAAAAGAGGAAAGTCTTAGTACGGCACTGAAATTGTTCAATCTTGCAGGAATGATCTAATCTGGATGACATAAAAATGGCAACCCTGTAGTAAGTCGATGCGAGGGACTGTCCCTCGCATCGAGGGACAGTCCCTCGATGCGACTCGCGGGACTGTCCCGCATCGAGGGCTCGTGTCCCGCGTCCCGCAAGAAATATCAAAACCTTCAAAATGTCCCGCATTTCACACTGTCGTAAAACTCACTACGCAGCTTATGGCGCTGCCGAACCACGGGGCACAGGGAAGCGCGGAGATCGCTGGTGAACGTGTGGTGAACGTGAACGATCCAAGCATTGCGGAAAGCGACCGTCGTTCTTGCAGGAGATCTGACGCGCAAGCGCCGTTGTGCCTCTCTTTCCTTGGTGGCAAAATATTGCAAGAGACAATCGCTCACCAAAAGTTCAAAATAAATTATTTTAATCATTTTCATATCGTGCTGCGTCAATGCAAAAAAATTGCTGTGGAAAGCTTTTTTTTTTTTTAATTTTAGTAAAGACGATCACACAAGGCAAGAAGACTGCAACTCACAACTGTCAAAAACAACAACGTAAGATTCGAAATTTGTCTTGTTAAAAATGCGAATCGAAAGGAAACGAGAAGCCGTAAAACATTTATTGCTTTTTCTATCCTTTTGATGCATTGATTTCTTTTACAGTCGATTTTTATGTTTTCAACTAAGACAATGTCACTTGTAGTGAAAATTATTTGAGCTTAATTGCCGTAAAACCATTTGCAACTGTTTGATATGCTTTCAGACAAGACAGGATATCAAATGTGTTAGCAGAGCCGTATTTCGTGGCCTGTGTTGATAAATTTTCTCAAATAGTTAATTTTTTCATTATGTGTTTTTTTTAACCTGAGACTGGGGCAGAAGGCGAAAAAACAATTTTCCTCCACCTGCGCCAGTCTCGGGTTAAAAGGCAGCATGGCAAATTTCCACCAGCCCGACTGAGTACTAAGTTCTTTTTTTGTAGTTGCCACAGCCGAAATATAGTACCATTCTTCTCTTACAACCCCCCCCCCCCAACCCCTTTTCAAGGTCAGCATGTCCCGCATTTTGCTAGATGGAAGGTGGTCACCCTGGTAGTAAGTAGATTGCAAATCAAATTCTAAGTAATATACAACTTGAAAAAATCACACACACACACACACACACACAAAATTAGGGTGTTTTTTTGTTGTTGTTTTTTTCTAGAAGAGGAAGATTGATGTTCGTCTTTAAAGCGGAAACACTAGAGTCGGTCACTAGTCAAGAAGGTAGTAGAAGCTCCTCCCCACAAGCGTGATGCGCCCACTTCAAACGCCTCCTTAGTCGAGAAAATAGTTCGCCGAAAACACCCCTTTTGCTCCGATAGATAAATATGGGCTACAAACAGACCTTGTAGCGGGCGGCAGCTTGCGCATACCTAGCCGAGGCGAATTATGAATTTTAAACTGTTACATTACTCGCTCCCGATGGTTAAAGTAAAAAGTGGCAACGAAAATTGTTCGTTACTAGAGCGATAGAAAAATCCTCGTCTATTACAGACCCTCTTATATGAACTAAGAGGCGAAAAGAAAGCGTCATTTGTTCTACAAATAAATATAAATTGTAATTTTTGTAAGTAATGCATATATGGTTTTTGGTTTTAGCTTGATAACCTTCGCCTGCACAAATTAGGTACATTCCATGCGTTCGCTGTGTTAGTTAAACATGGAAAACGGAGAAAACCGAAAACTTTCAGCCTTTCCACTCTGGGGAAGAAGGAAGACCAGCGGAGCTGTACAATGAAAAGTAATGGCCGGCTGCAAATCGGCAAGCCAGAGTGGAAAGGCTGCCGCCATCTATGAGCGACGGCGGCAACCAGATACGTGGCTTGCCGCCGTCGCTCATAGATGGCGGTAGGTGTCCAGAGTTCGGTGTCTTCATTTCTTTGCGGTGGACACGATTCTGGGGAAACTAGCCCTTAACAGCTCCGCTGTAAAAACCCCCAAACCCCTGCTTTTCGACTTTTGAAAACCCCTACGATTCGGGTTTTGACAAGAGTAAAGCTATACGCCCTACGTCGTGCACCTCGACCAGAAATGGCTATACACTACGCAGAGAGCTCATATGCCATTTCGGTCACACTCTTCTGACGGCGCGTGCATCACTGGTGACCGCGTTAAACCGCTCAAGGCCTTCACTGCTCTTCAGGTCCCGAAAACGGGGAAGGGAAGGGCTGTGTTTTAAATCTTAATCAATAGATTCGCCCTACTCCCCTGCGGGTTGTGCCACGTGTGAAAACACAGGCAGAGCAATGCTGGACGCGGGTAGGTATTTGAACGCAAAGGTTCAAAACCCTACACTGGAGTAAGATGGAGTAAATTTTGGAACACGAACAAAGACACGAGGGCTCGGCAGAACAGATAGACAGCATTGCCAGGTGGCCTGTGATGTCACGTCTGACGAGCACCGAGATTACCGAAAAGTGGAGGAAGTGAGGAGAAAAGTCGTGATTTTTAGCTTGGTGCTGTACAAACGGACATCGAACTGCCGGACTGCTGGACACTTCAACTTCTACGATTTTTGATGGAGTCGGGTCGCCTCACGATTTCTGAAGTCTCCTGCTTGTACAAGCCTTGCGGCCACTCTGAGAATCACAATAATCTGTGCCACCATTGTTGGCAGCGAGCTCTCACTGCCAGTGCTTTGTTTCGAAGCATAATAGGGACGTTGAAAGCTCCCTTGAAGTTGACGGCCATTATCACTCTTGGGTCGCACTTCGGCGGGTTGGCTAACACCTTGTGGTGGATGAGGAGCAGGCTGCCCTGTGCACAAAGGTGCGGTCTGAAGGGGTGATGCATAGATTTCTTGAATTTAAGAGGCGCCATTGTACTCGCTTGAAATATGTCGTAAAAACAGCACAGATTGCTTGATGCGAGGGAAAGTCTGCTACAACATTGATGAAGGGTGGTTGAGAGGACTGAGATCTGAGGAATGCTAATGCCGGAAACTGGGCCTAGTTCAGCCCGACTCAAGCTTGATATCGTCAGTCTTGCAGGAACGCTGTGATGAAGTGAAGTGGTCTTCCACAGAGACCTCAGTTTTGAGCCCCCCGTACTGGTGCAATGTAGACGATTAAATCGAACCTTTTTGGAACTGATAAGAACCACAATGCACAGATTGCAGCCAGACTTGTTGCCGAGGACAGTGTTGTGAAGTAATAAAAGGCCGTTTTTGAATGCTTGGATGGCTTCTGAAACTGGCGTAGAATTAATGGAAATGTTTCTCATTTTTGTGATGCTGTGGTTTGTAACAGGCGTAATCCTTTTTTCCGTTGGTGCTGCTGAAGTGCTTTTGTTAGCTGGTGTTGCGTTTTTGAAGACCTTTATTCAACTGCCACCCTCCAGCACCGCTCGTGCCGAGTACAACTCTGAAGTCCCATACGCACCAGGTTTTCTTTTGCCCGGCTACCGCCCCCGCGCTCGTAGTGCCCTCTGGACACCACATCTTTTCCCTCCTTTTTAAACAAACATACCCAGCTGGTAACATCCGGCCATTAACAGTAAATAATTTAGAAAAGTCCGTCGCTTTTTTTTTTTTTTCATTCTTCTATTAGCCTTCGAGGCTTGCGCCGATCTCGCACGGGATACCGTCGCTCTCCGTCACTATTATCTGCATCCATGAGCGTCTCAGCATCCTGGGTGTTGCTTCTTGGCCTCGGGACTTTGGATGGTGCAGGCAAAGAGGCCTGTGGAAGGCATCTGTAGCCTGCGCTGTCTTCCGGTGTGCTGTCTGTCCAAGCCGTGGCAGACACCCCTCCCGCTTCGTCTGGACGAGACTCTGAAGGTCCGGAGTCTTGCGACGGTGCTCGGAGCAACTGGTCCTGATGCCTTCGCCATACCCGTCCCGGGGAGACTTGCACTTGGAAAGACACTGGACCAGTTTGGGCAGCGACTGTTCCTGGCTGCCACTTGTGACCACTTCGATAATCTCTGGCATAGACTTGGTCTCCTGCAGTGAAAGCCCGCTCTTGTCCTGGGTGTTGCCGCTGTTGGCGGTAGTGTGCGCTGGCCACACAGTCTGCAACTGATGGTTTCAGGAGGTCCAGTCTGGTGCGAAGATGCCGCAGTAGCATCAACTGGGCCGGAGACTCTCTTGTTGTCGGGTGCCGGGTGTTCCTGTACGATAGAAGAAAACGTGACAACCTTGTACGGAGGGGATGGCTCGAAGTTGTTTTCCGCAGATAGTTTTTCATGGTCTGAATAAACCGCTCAGCTAGTCCATTCGTAGCGGGATGGTATGGTGCAGACGTGACCTGGGCGATACCATTGTTCCTTAAGAAAGTTTGAAATTCCTCCGACACAAACTGAGGCCCATTGTCAGAAACCATGGTTGTGGGCAGACCAAACCGTGCGAAGCAATCTTGTACACACTGGATTATGACCTTTGACGTCGTAGACTCCAAGACAAACACCTTTGGCCATTTGGAGTGAGCATCCACGAGCACGAGGAACATTTTACCCATGAAAGGTCCCGCCAGATCCATATGCAGTCCCTCCCATGGACGTGTCGGCCATGCCCAAGGGTGCAGGGGAGCAGCGGACGGATTGTTTCGGTGCAGCTGACACATGGTACACCCTCCAATTTCCCTCTCAATGTCTTTATCCAGGGATGCCCACCAAACATAGCTCCTAGCCATTTCCTTAGTGCGCACGATGCCATAATGGTCCCCATGAAGTTCTTCTAGGACCCTTTTCTGCAGGGTCTTCGGAATCACCACTCGTAAACCCCACATGAGGCATCCTTGGTGGAGTGACAGCTCATTGCGGCGTACGTGGAAGGGTGCATACTCTGGATCGGTTGGCTTGCGTTCTGGGCCCCAACCATGCTTTACTCTTTCCACGATCTGACTTAGGAGGGGGTCTCTGGACGTCGCCCGTGCAATGTCTTTACATCTAAGAGGCACATTGTCGAAGTACTCACAGTAGAAGGCGAACGTTTCGTCGACGGCGTCTGTGTTGGGGTTGTCCGTTGCTTTTGGGAGTCTTGACAAGCAGTCTGCATTGGCATTTTCCTCGGAAGACCGGTGGACGATGGTGTAGCGGTGTGCGGCTAGCTGACAGGCCCACCTCTGGAGCCTCGCTGCTGTCATTGTAGGGATCCCGGTCGTTGGGCCTAGGATTTTCTGTAAGGGAGCGTGGTCAGTGATCAGCGTGAAGTGATAGCCATACAAATAGTAGTGGAATCTTCTTATTCCAAAGATGATAGCTAGGCCTTCTTTTTCTAACTGAGAATAATTCTTCTCGTGCTCAGTCAGGGTCCTAGAAGCAAAAGCAACTGGCCGCTCTGTTCCATCTTCAAACGCATGGGACAGGACTGCCCCTACTCCATACGCCGATGCATCGCATGCCAGTATAATGGGTCGACGCGGGTCAAAATATGTCAGGACAGGTGCCGACGTCACCAGCTTCTTAAGCGAATCAAAGGAGTCCTGACAGTCTGTGCTCCATTCCCATGCAGCCTTCTTCTGCAGTAGACGATTCAGAGGATACACGGTAGTTGCTAAGTTCGGTAGAAATTTGCCATAGTAGTTAGCAAGCCCAAGGAATGAACGCAACTCTGCCTTGTTCTTGGGAGTGGGTGCATCTCGAAGTGCTGCTGCTTTATCCTCCATGGTTCGTAGACCATCCCGACTAATCACATGACCGAGGTAGGCAACTTCCGTTTGGAAGAATTTGCACTTCTCTTTCTGAAGACGCATTCCCTTTTCTTGTAATCGTGTTAAGACTGCTTTCAAGTTTTCAAAATGCTCACCCTTCGTTCTGCCAGTCACCAGGATGTCGTCCAGGTAGCAGGTGGTCTGCGGCAGCCCTTGAAGCACTTGATCCATAGTTCTTTGAAAAATGGAGGGTGCAGATGCTATGCCGAAGGGAAGACGGTTCACTTGGAACAGCCCCAACTAGGTGTTGATGCTGAGGTACTTCCGCGCTGCAGGATGCATCTCCAGCTGTAGGTAGGCTTTTGACAGGTCCAGCTTTGAGAAAAACTTCCCTCCTGCCAGCGTTGCAAACATCTCTTCTATCCTGGGGAGCGGATAGTTGTCGACCTCCAAGCACGGGTTGATTGTTGACTTGTAGTCGCCGCAGATTCTTATGTCTCCATTCTTTTTGACGACCGGCACGATGGGCGATGCAAACTCGCTGCTGTCCACCGGGGTCAGGATCCCCGCCTCCTTCAGTGCCATCAGTTCTTTAGAGACAGCTTCCTTCAGGGCGTGGGGCACTGGTCTTGGCTTGAGGAACTTTGGAGTGTGCCCACTCTTCAGCTTGAGGTGAGCTTCAAACCCCTGAAGACGGCCCAGATCGTCTGAGAACACCTGAGCAAAGTCCTTCAAAAGCGTGTCGACTTGTTCCTTGCTCCCCTTCTCCAAGCACTGGACAGCCTTGATGATTTTCCAGTCGAGCCTCAGCACCTCCAGCCAGTCACGTCCCAAAAGCGGGGGACCCTTGAAGTCCACAATCTGCAGCGGTAACTTGTGAACCTGGTCTTGGTACTCCACTTCAACCTGTGCCTCTCCTACCGGCTTCACCTTTTTACCGGTAAATGCTCGAAGGACGACTCCACTTCTTCCCTTCACTAGATTGGGAAACCTTGTCTTGTACAGGTCTAACGGGAGTACCGACACCGCCGCCCCGGTGTCTACTTCCATCGTCAGCGGAATCGTGTTCACCTTCACTGTTACTTGCAGAGGCCGCGGACGTGTCCCCCGAAGCTCGAACATCTCGACCTCATCTTCCGTGTCGACGTTCAGCGTCTTGACTTTTTTTCCTTGATTCCTCCGGCCTCGTGTCGGTGCTCCGCGATGCTGAGAAGCTGCTGGCCCGGACTGCTGGCTCCTGCACAGTCGTTCAAGGTGTCCGCGTCTTCCGCACCTACGACAGTCTAAGCCTTTCCACCTGCAGTTAATTGCTGTGTGATTCGTAAGTCCGCAGTGCTTGCATTCGGACTTGTCCTGGTCCACCTTAAGCACCTCGGCGTCCGCGCTCCGGCAATGTAAAACTTGTGCGTTCGCGGAGGCGGCTTCCATCGCCACTGCGATTTCTAGCGCCTTCTTAAACGTCAGGCCAGCTTCCGACAACAGTCGCTTTTGAATGGAGTCGCTGATAATGCCGCATACCATGCGGTCACGTAAGGCTTCGTTCAAAGTGCCGCCGAATTCACATGTCTGCGCCAACTTTTTCAGCTCGGCTACGAACTCGAGGATACTTTCATTCTCGTTTTGGTTTCTTTTGTGAAAACGGAAGCGTTCCGCGATGACAAGAGGCTTCGGCGACAGGTGCTCTCGCAATATGGCTACCAGCTCGATGTACGACTTGCTAGCCGGGATGTCCGGCGCCACCAAACTCTTTAGCAGAGCGTACGTCTTCGCGCCAATGAGGCTTAGGAACGCTGCCACTTGCCTTTCTGGTTTGACGTCGTTTGCGACGAAAAACTGGTCGAGTCGCTCGATGTAGGTTGGCCAGTCCGTGCCCGCTTCGTCGAACGGTTCAATTCGACCGAGGGTCGCCATGGCGTCGCGGCGTCACCGGGGAGTAGTGCGGCGGGCGACTCTTCGACGGGGCTCGCGTGGCTGGACGCTCGTCGCCAGTTGTTGCGTTTTTGAAGACCTTTATTCAACTGCCACCCTCCAGCACCGCTCGTGCCGAGTACAACTCTGAAGTCCCATACGCACCAGGTTTTCTTTTGCCCGGCTACCGCCCCCGCGCTCGTAGTGCCCTCTGGACACCACAGCTGGCTCAGAGGTTAAATACGTGCAAGTCACGATTGGGGTCCCTTCTCGCACCCCGATCAAGTGTGTCGCCTCCTGGAAGGCCTGGGAATGTACTGTTCGGGCGGAATCGTAGGATCTGTCTAATGGGCTAATGGGTCGTAAGGCTTGCAGCGAGATCAGATAGGAGGGGGTCGCTTCCCACTGTCGGTGTGCACTTGCCGTACCGCTCGGCTTAGGGAGCCCCGTATTAACCTTAACTCTCAGGCCCGAGCCCGCTGTACTCGTCGTATTTTTGCACCAATATCGCTCATGACGAGTCCTTCTTGTCCAGTCCAGAACCTCTTCAATTTGCCTGATGGAGTCGAACCAGCTGCTCCTTATCCAATTCCGGGTCGTGAACTTCAACAGCAAAGGGACGTGAAATTCATTCGTTTTTTTTTCTGCTTAGACTGCATTTTTTCTGGCAATGGGTTTCTAAAAATGATGCCATTTGAGATGGTGTTGAAGTAACGCGGCTCGGAAACAGGCATTTTGTGCGGTGGCATTCGTTTCATCAAACGACATTTCCCCGACAGTTTGTTTCATCGACACTGCGACGTTTTATCAACAGATCATTTCATCGACACTCGTTTCATCGACATATTTTGCTTTGTTTCGTCGACGAAATTTCGTTTTTTTCGGTTAGGGGTGCTCTGGTCCGTTGGTGAGCATTGGTACGGGTACAAGCACGGGTGCGGGACTACCTGCACACGCTGCTGCGAAGCGGCATATATGGGTGTGGGCCGAATGGGTTCACATTTTTGTAATGAACTGCCGCAGACTGTCGCCGCGAAGCGTTGTGAACTGGGTGGGTTGGATTATTTAACACGTGTCCCAGTGATGAACGCACGACGAAATGTTCCTACATCGTGCAATTTGCGTGTCGATGAAACTTCACAGCAGGGCCATTCCATGTCAAACGTCCCAGACGTTGCGGTCGACCACCTTCGATTTCTAAAAGAAAAAAAAATGCATGGCCTTTTGCCGAAATGTCTGTAGCCATGCCCTAATATATATATATATATATATATATATATATATATATATATATATATATATATATATTTTTTTTTTTTTTTTTTGATGGCGTGAGCGCAATTTTAACTTTTAAAAATAGCGTGAAACTAGGTATCACTCCATAATTGATGAAAAATCAACTTTTTTATGAAACACCCAACAATATTTTTTTTATTAAATCTGCTCGGCTTTCGATGTTCAATGTAGTCGAGCTTGTGCAGTTTTGTTTAATTTAAATATTTTTAAGAACACCATTTTTATTTGAAAGTTTTAAAATTTTTGTTCTTTTATTAAAAATATAGAATTGCTCCGGGGACTGAATAGAACTTTTTACGGACTGCCCTGCAGGTATATTATCTATAAAAAATGTTAAAACCACTCAATTAAATATCTCGTAGTAAAAAAAAAATCCTGAAGTTGCACAAAAGTGCGTTTTGACGCATAAGCAGACGTTTATTTTACCCTGAGGTGTTCCAAGTAAAAATACATTGTTTGGGGGTTTGGAAGAACGGTCGATTCTCTTTTGATTCTGAAAGTTTAATCAAAGTATTTTTTGTTTAAAGCGAGAAAACAATGTTTGAAGTTGAACTCTCACACCACGACCCGACGTCGCTTCTTAGCACCTCTTCGCCGCACAGCACGACACCGGCGACGATAGCTGACACGATTAGGTTTAGAAAAAGAACGGAGTTTACTGCCGCTTTCCCTTGTCCGTCTTTTCAGCTGGAAGGGAACAAGCGGTGATCATCGTGTTGATAATCGGAGGTGCCGCTAGTGCGTAGCCATAGCAGGCCCGTTGTGCCCTTTGTATCCGAGGGCGGCCCCTCAAACTCCGAAAGGTGACGCCAAAAAAACGACGGGCGGCATCAGGCGACGGGAAATTTTCCACAAATATGTCTTACTTCTCCATGAGAAGATATATTTATGAAACAGTGAAATATTTTTGCCTCAAAACCACTCGGTATATGGAATGCTGTGTAATAAGCATCATGAATATTGGCTTGAAGCATTTAAAACAAATAAGGAATATATGAGAATTTTAGCATTTTTGATAGTTGTGTTACAAACTATCTCCTTGCTGCAGGTGACTGTGAAAATTCTTATGAACAGCCCGGTAAATATACTGAAAAAAAAAGTTTCAGGCCGTACAACTAAATATCATTCATAAAAATAACTAAATTTGTGCTAAATTGCGTCCCGCCGTTTCAAGAGCCGTTAATTCTACCTTGAGGTGGCCGCCCAAACATGAAATTGCATTGGTCATTAATGAAAGAGGACAAACTGATTTGATTTACTTGAATTTTTCAAAAGCGTTTGATCGAGTATCGCACGAAAAGTTACTGATAAAGCTGTAAACAGTTTTAGATAATCATGCTATCCTGAAGTGGCTTGAAAGTTTCTTATCCCTGAGACAGCAGTTTGTTGAAGTTGACACCGCATGCTCCGGTACCACACGGGTAACTTCAGGCGTCCCACAGGGATCAGTCCTGGGGCCTTTGTTGTTTTTAATATTCGTGGATGATATTGTTTGTGGAATTACAGTAAAGATCCGCCTTTTTGTGGATGATTGTGTTATTTTTAGTGATAACAATTTCTACGGACTGTGAGAAGTACTAAACTCCTCATTAGAAAAACTGTCTAGATGGTGTGATGAATAGCAAATGTCACTAAATTTATCAAAAACTGTATGTATGTCAATTACTTGAGGGAAGGAGCCTGTCACTTTTAATTATCCGATTGGGAACCGTAGCCTTGAGAGAGTAAGTTCATATAAATATCTGGGGTTGACAAGAATATCAGATCTTAAATGGAATGTTCATATCAGTGATACCGCTAGCAAAGCAGTGCGTAAGCTGGGTTTCTTGAGTAGGTATATGAGACAGGCCTACTGTCATGCAAAACTACTACTGTATAAAACACTTGTTCGGCCAGAATATGAAAGATAATTTGGGATCCACATACCTTATCTTTAGGGCTCCGTGTTTTCGGAGTTTATTTTTCGTGAAATTCGGAGGTGTTTTTCGGAGTTCATTTTTTAGCACAAATTCGGTGTTTATCGGAGTTTATTTTTCATAAATCCCCAATTCTCCGAAATTCTTATATTAATTTCGCGGTGTTTCCTATT